GATGAAGTATGCACACTCTACATTGCCTCTTCAACTGAAGACAAAGAAAATCACAGAATACATGTGATATCTTTAAATTCGGAAAGTAAACAGTAGCAAGAAGACTGCAGAACAAAGTTCCTCAAAAGACTAGGCATGAACCACCATATGACCCAGATATACCACTCTTTAGAATTTATCCTAAAGGAGTAAAGTCATCTACCACTGTATTAAATGGTACATGCATACCCACGTTTACAGTAGCACAATTCACAATAGTCAAACTATGGCACTAGGCCACGTGGACACCTAGATCAACAGATGATCATGATGAATCGGGAAAAAATGTAGTATATATGTATACATATATAGAAGAGTTGTATTCAACCATAAAGTACAATAAAACTCTGTCTTTTGAAAGAAAATAAAAGGAACATCATGTTATACAAAATAAGCCAAACACAAAACAAAGGTCATTATGTTTTCTCACATATGTAAACTGAGAGAAAAGGGGATCTCATGAAAACAGAAGGGAGATCAGCAAAGCAGAGAATGGATATCAGGGAGAAGTAAAAGGGGAGGGGAAAAGGAGGTACAGTGGAATTAAACAGGCCATCACAATGAAGTATGCTTGTATGTATAATTCTATTTCACCAATATTTTTTTTTAAAAAAAAACATAGTAAGATGAGAAGAACACATATTTACCATGTCGAGAGCCCTGAGTTAAATCCAAGCACACACACACACACACACACACAAAATGTGACTTTACAGTGTAGAAACTCAGCATCACCACCTTAAATAAGTTACCAAATCTAATATCACAAATATGTCATATCAATAACATGAACCCCTTCAATAAGTATACTAAGAAGGATCTGTCACTTCTGTGGTAACCTTACCAAAAATTCATAACCTCATTCTAATCATAAGAAAACACTGCAACAACAGAAAGATAAAAGCATTCTATAAAATAAATAACCAGTAGTTTGCAAAAATACTAAAGATATACAAAAAGTGGAATACTAATAAACTATCATAGGAAGTCATAAAGACATAATATGTAAATGTACCATAGTATCCTGGATTGGGTCGTAGAACATAAAATGGGACATAGAACAGAGGGAAAATGAATGAAATTCAAGTAATATGGATAAATAGTATTATAATTATGTTATATCCTGGTTTCATCATCATATTATAATCAGAAAAGATGCTAACATTAAAGAAAACTGAAGGATATCAGGGCATTCTTAGTACAAATCATAAAATTTTTTATAACAAAATTCAAAATAAAAAATATTATAAGAATTCTAAAAGAAAAAAGTATATAGTGATAAAATGACAGAAACTAGATCATTGGTGGAATTTTTTGGATTTTCTAAATATAGAATCATGTCATCAGCAACTAGTAATCGCTGGAGTTCTTCATTTTCTATTCATATCCTTTTAATTTCTATTGTCTGTCTGATTGCTCTAGCTAGAGTTTAAAGGGAAATGTTAAATAAAAATGGTAAAAGAGAGCATCCTTATCTAGTTCCAGTTCTTAAAACAATTTTTCTCCATTTAGAATGATGCTGGCCTTGGGTTTAGCATAGATAGCTTTTACTACCTCTAGTTTTTCTAGTGTTTTAACATGAAAGGGGTACTGTATTTTGTCAAATGCTTTTTCTGCATCTATTGAGATGATCATAAGATTCTTGTCTTTAAGTCTATTGATGTGATGAATTACACTTATTGATTTCCATATATTGAGCCAATCTTGCAACCCTGGGATGAGTCACATCGATCAGGGTGCACTATCTTTTTAATATATTTTTGGTATACAAGTTGCCAGAATTTTATTGAGAATTTCTGCATCTATATTCATCAGGGATAGTGGTCTCAAGTTTCCTTTCCTTGGAGAGTCTTTGTTTGGTTTTGTTATCCAGGTGATACACTAGCTTCATAAAATAACTTTGGAAGGGCTCCCTCCTTTTCTGTTTCATGGAATAATTTGGGAAATACTGGTGCTAATTCTTCTTTGAAGGTCTTGTAAAACTCGGCTGAGAATCCATCAGACTTTTCTGTGCTGGTATGCATGTGATGGTTTCTTCTGTTTCATTGCTTAAAATTGATCTGTTTAATTTGTATATGTCCTCTTCATTCAGTTTGGGTAGTTCATACGTCTCTAGAAATTTGTCGATGCCTTTGAGATTTTCTATTTTATTGGAGTATAAATTTTCAAAATAGATTGTAATTATTTTCTGTATTTTAAAAGTGTCTATCATGATATTTCCTTTTTCATCACAAATTTTAGTAATTTGAGTTTTCTCTCTCCTCTTTGTTAGTGTGCTAAAGGATTATCAATATTATTTATTTTTTTAAAGAACAAACATTTTGTTTTGTCAATTTTTGAATTTTTTCTTTTGTTTCAATTTCATTGATTTCAGCTCTTTTTAAAATTATTTCTTGTCTTCTACTGCTATTGGCATTGATTTCTTCCTTTTCTATGGCTAAGAGATATAACGTTAGGTCATTTATTTATTCATTGACTTTCTATTCTTTTAGTGAATGAGCTCAATGCAATGAATTTTCCTCTCAGCACTGCCTTCAGAGTGTCCTAGAGATTTTGTTGTGTTGTATCAATGTTCTCATTTACCTGCATAAGTATTTTTTTCTATATTTAGAAGATCCAAAAAAATTCCACCAGAAAACTACTAGACCTAAACTTATATCCTGCTCCTTCATGTAGCAGGATATAAAATTAACACCCATAACCAAATGTGTTCCTATATATCAGTGATGAATATACTTAAAGAGAAATTAGGAAAACTACCCTATTCACAATAGCCTCAAAAAAAAATAAAATAAAATACTTGGGAATCAACCTAACCAAAGAAGTGAAAGACATCTACAATGAAAAATACAGAACACTAAAGAAAGAAATTGAAGACGACCTTCGAAGATGAAAAGATCTCCCTTGGTCTTGGATAGGCAGAATTAACATTGTCAAAATGCCATTCTACCAAAAACATGATACAGATTTAATGCAATTTCTATTCAAATCCAAATGACATTCTTCATAGAAATAGAAAAAGCAATCATGAAATTCATGATTTCATGTTATTCAAAAATAACAGACCCAGAATAGCCAGAGCAATTCTCACGAAGAAGAGTGAAGCAGGAGGCACAATATCAGACCTTAAATTATACTATAGAACCACAGTCACAAAAACAGCATGGTACTAGCACCAAAGAGATACACAGAACAATGGTATAGAAAGAATAGAAGACACAGAGACAAACCTACATCAACACAGTTATCTCATGGTAGTGTCAAAACATGCACTGGAGAAAAAATAGCATCTTCAACAAATGGTGCTGGTAAAACTAGAAATCAATATGTAGCAAAATGAAATTAAATCCCTGTCTCTCACCCTGTACAAAAATCAAATCAAAGTGGATCAAGAACTTAGGAACCAAAATATAAACCATGCACCTACAAGAAGAAAAAGTAGGCCCAAATTTCCACCATGTCAGCTTAAGAACCAAATTCCTCAACAAGAGTTCAAAAGCATAATAAGTAAAGTTAAGAATCAATAAATGGGATGGAATCAAATTTAAAAACTTCTTCATAGTTGGAAACAATCAATAACATGAAGACAGAGACTATAGAATGGGAAAAAATCTTTTTCACACATAGGAGCATTAATCTCCAGGATATATACATAACTCAAAAAATATAAAACCAAACAACAACAACCCCCCCAAAAAAGAAAACTCATCAATTAATGGACAAAGGACTAAATACATACTTCCCAGAAGAAAAAATACAATTGCTCAACAACCATATGAAAAAATATTCATCATCTGTAACAATTAGAGAAATGCAAATCAGAAATACACTTAACTTTGTCTCGTCCAGTCAGAATGGCAAATACCAAGAATACAAACAACAGTAAATGTTGGCAAGGATGTAGGGTAAAAGGGTACATTTATACATTGCTGGTGGTACTACAAATTGGTGCAACCATTATGGAAAGTGGTACAGTGATTCCTCAGAAAACTTGGGATGAACCACCATTTGACCTAGTTATATTTCTTCAGTTTATACCCAAAGGACTTAAAATTAGCATACTACAATGATGTAGCCACATCAATGTTTACAGAAGCTCAATTCACAATGGCTAAAATATGGTACCAAACTAGGTGCCTTCAACAGATGAATGCATAAAAAAAATGTGGAATATATACAATGGACTAATACCAGTCTTAAAGAAGAATGAAATTATGGCATTTGCCAGTAAATGGATGGAACTAGAGAATATTATGCTAATTGAAATAAATCAATCCCAAAGAATAAAAGGCTGAATGTTTTCTCTGATATGAGGATGCTAATTCACAACTGTGGGGGGGTGGGGAGGGGTACAATATAGGTACTTAGGATTAGAAGGGGGAACTAATAAAGAGGAGGGGTCATGGGGGAAAAATGATAGTAGAATGAAATGAACATTATTACCCTGTATGCATATATGATTACCAGACCTGTATAATTCTACATCATGTACAACAAGAAAAATAAGTTATACTCCATTTATTTATGATGTGTCAAAATGTGTCGTGTAGAACTAATCAGAATAAAAAACATTTAAAAAGAAGCCCATTCAATAACTATTCCTAGAAATTTAAAGGAAAAAAAGTAGATCATTGGGTGCTATGTACCAGAAGTTGGAATGAAAAACCTAACTGCACAGGGAAACAAGGGATTGTTTTTAGGTGGTGAAAAATTTCTGTATTATGATTGTTCTGGTAGTTAAGGACAATAACACATAGTCAAAACTCATCAAATTATATACTTAAACAAGTAAATACAATAAAATTATATCTCAATAAAAATGTGAAAAAAATTACTGATTTAAAAAGAAAAAAATTTTAAACTTTTTTATTTGGGTTGCAATCCCAACATAAGCAGCATTTAGAGAAGACATACCAAATAGATTATAAATGCATACCAAATAAAGTTATATATGCTCTTACCAGATTAATTAACTGAGTGTGCACCACATCTTCTACCAAAACTGCTGTTTCATAAAGAGGCCTCCTAGCATCTCCTAAAGAAAACCTGCAAAAGAAAAAGAAATATAAACATACTAATATTAAGAGTTGTAAATGAAGAATGGCAAAAAGTGTATTTTATATGTGTATTTTAAGAATCAGTTAAATAAAGAGAATACAAATTCTTGCCGCAAATGATCTAAGGATACAAAAGTTTTTATTGAGAAAGTTAATGTTTCTTACACAGAGTGTCATTTCCTAGGAAGAGTGCAGTATTATCTACACTATTTCTTGATTTGTATAGTATGTTAAAATGGCTTTTACTGTGTCAAAATGCAAGCTAAAAAACAACTACTTCAGAAAAGAGACAACCAAAAGTTATTTCACATCCAAATCATCAATACCCAAGTAAAATAGCCACATAAAAAGTTATTAAAACATGTGATATAAGAAAAACTGAAAATTGCTATGAAAATGACATCAATAATGGTTTACGATTACAAACAGGATTACAAATTGGTCTTAAAAGACTTCTTACTTTCATACAGTAGACAAAATGTGCAGAGACTGCCTCCAGGTAAAAATCATTTCAAATGCAAAATCATGAATTAAAATCTTTGATTCAAAGCATGTCTTAAGTAGCAGTAGAAAAGACAAAACAGAAGTCAGGTAAGATGTCAAAGTGTAGTTCCAAAGAATAAGTACTCTAAACCCAAATTGAATAAAACTCCTTTGACAGCAAACCACAGCCTGAATTGAACTAGCATGGTATTCAATATACAGAAAAGAAAGGAGTCCCAGGAGTCCGAGGTAAGGTAAGAGGTATAGTTAACAAATCTAGTATAAAGTTGAAAAGAAAATAGTCAGTTATGGTAAGTAACATTTTTAGTGCCTGAACTAGGCAACCATCCATTTTAATGATGTACTTAAACTGAAGCAGGGCACAGTGGCAAGAGCATATAATCCCATCAACCCAAGTGGATTAGAAAGGAGAATAATAACTTCAAGGCCAGCCTCAGGAATTCAGTGAGATCCTGTCTCAAAAGAAAAAAAAAAAAAAGACCAGAGATGTAGCTAAATGGTAAAGGGGGTCCTGGGTTCAATTCAAAATGTACTTTACCTATAGAGGCTCTGCATTGAAGAAATACAAATCTTCCCTAAGAATTGTTAACCATAAATTCAACTTTCATAATATCAGAATACTTGATACCCATATAGACTAATAAAGCAAAAAAATTAGTTTAAAGTGATTTTATTGATAGCACTCATAGATATCTGGCAGTATCCCTTGAAGAACATATTTAAACAAACACCTGAAAGCATTCCCATTGAGGACATATCAAGGATCATTACTTCAAACTTATGATTTACAACATATACTAGGAAATAAATCATCATAAATGAAAGTGAGCAGAAGCAACAAATGGCAGAATCAGACCCATAAAGCTAAACATGCCTGAAAAATTAAATAATAAATTAACTATATAATTCATGTTTAAAACATGAAAAGAACACATAGGAACAAATACAACACATTGGTTAGTTATATTATTAAAAGCACCAAGGAGAAATATAAATAAAAAATATGATAATAGCATTTTTAAAATTAATGGGAGAGGGGCGTGGGGCTATGGCTCAGTGGCAGAGGACTTGCCTAGCATGTGTGAGGCACTAAGTTCGATTCTCAGAACCACATAAAAGTTAATAAACAAAATAAAGATATTGTATCCAATTACATCACAATACCAGACCTTAAATATACTACACAGCTATGATTACAAAAACAGCATGGTATCGGCACAAAAACAAACTTGTAGACAAATGGTAAAGAACAGAAGACATAGAGACAAACCCACATAAATATAATTACATCAGACAAGACAAAGGTGCCAAAAATACTCACTGGAGAAAAGATAGTTTAATCATCCTTTTTAAAAATAGGCTGGATGTGAAGAAATTGAAAATCTTCCACATTGCTGATGTGATATAAAATTGTGTGGCAGCTCTGGGAAAAAAGTAGGGGGAAACTTAAAAATATTAAACACAGAAATTGTATAACCCAGCAACTCCACTCCTATTTAACACAGGAAAACAGAACGGAATTTCAAAAGCTACTTGCACAACAGTGTTCATATTATTCACAGCAGCAAACATGTGGAAACAACTTAAGTATCCATATATTTATGAATGGATGAACAAAACATAGTACATATATTTCCTGGAAAATTATTCAGCAGTGAAAACAAAGATCTGGAACATAATGATGCATAAGTCAAATTTGAAAATACTATGTTAAGTGAAAAAAATCAGATGCAAAAGGGCACGTATTGGATAATCTTTTTATATAAGATATATAGAATAGAAAAATTCATAGAGACAGAAAATAAAATGGAGGAAAGCAGAGAAATGAAGAGTTATTGCTTAATGAGAACAGAATTTCTGGTTTAGGATGACGAAAATTTCTGGCAAAGGACAGTGGAGTGAGCTGCATGACACTGTGAATACATGTGATGTTATGAACTGTTTACTTAGAAAGAGTTAAATGGTAAATTTTATGTCATGTATATTTTATTACAATGTTTAAAGGATAAGAACTTAATGAATTTAAGAGCAGAGTTCATGAAGCTAAAAAAATTTAGCTTAATGAATTTAAGAGCAGAGTTCATGAAGCTAAAAGTTCTCTTGGACTTTGCAGACTTTAGAACTATAAGCAAATAAATTTTCTATTGCTTGAAAAAAAATTGTGTTCAACAACATATCTGAAAAAAATCAACCATAACAAACCATGGATAATAAGAGACTATCATGACCAAAGCTATGCCAAAAATTTGGATACTGTAGTGAAAGGAATAAATTTCTAGGAAATATAAATAACCAAAACCAAACCAACAAGGAAGAAACAGAATACTTGATTAGTCCTATAAATTTAAAGAAAGTCTATCAGTAAATAAAATAAACATTTCCTCGCTTGTTATGTTTTACCCAATTTGGAAAACTATGTCATTCTAACTTTACACAACTCTTTCAGAGAATGGAAACACTATCAAACTCACTTTTGAGGCTAGTGTACCCTTGGTATCAAAATCAGAAAAAGAGCGGGCTGGGGATATAGCTCAGTTGGCAAAGTGCTTGCCTTGCATGCACAAGGCCCTGGGTTTAATCCCCAGCACCACACATTAAAAAAAAAAAAATCAGAAAAAAGATTATAAAAAAGGAAGATTATAATTTCAGTCATTTACATAAATTTAAAATTAGTAAACTTGAATATTGTAATGTATTAAAACGAAAAGGATAATATAACATGACCAAGTAAATATTATCCTAGTGATGATTAATTTTATGTGTCAAACTGACTAGGTCACAGGATGCCCAGATGTTTGGTTAAATGTTATTCTCAGTTTTATTCATTTATTTGTTTGTTAGTTTTAATTAGTTATACATGATAGTAGAATGCATTTATGCACTTTGATATAGCATGCATAGATGGGATATAATTTCTTATTTTTCTGAGTGTACAGGATGCAGAATCATATTGGTCATACCATCACATATACAAATATGGTAATAATGTCTGCTTAATTCTACTATCTTTCCTATCCAAGTATCACCTCCCCTCCCCTCCCATTACTTCCCTCTACCTAATCTAAGGTAATGCTATTCTTCCCTGACCCTACCCTCCCCAGGCCTTACTGTGCATTAGCATTTGCATATTAGAGAGAACATTTGGCCTTTGGTTTTGTGGGATTGGCTTATTTCACTTAGCGTGATATTTTCCAACTCCAACCATTTACTGGCAAATTTCATAATTTTACTCTTCTTTAAAGTTGAGTAATATTCCATTGAGTATATATAGCACATTTTCTTTATCCATTCATCTATTGTGGGACACCTAGGTTAGTTCCATAGTCTAGCTATTGTGAATTGAGATTCTATAAACATTGATGTGGCTGAATCACTATAGTATGCTGATTTTTAAGTCCTTTGGATATAAACCAAGGAGTGGGATACTGAGTCTTACGGTGGTTCCATTCCCGATTTTCAGAGAAATCTCCATACTGCTTTCCATAGTGGTTGCACCACTTCGCAGTCCCACCCGCAATGTATAAGTATACCTTTTTCACCACATCCTTACCAACATTTATTGTTGCCTGTATTCTTGATGATTGCCATTCTGACAGGATTTAGATGAAATATTAGAGTAGTTTTGATTTGCATTTCTGTAATTGCTAGAGATGTTGAATACTTTTTCATATATTTATTGATCAGTTGTATTTCTTCTTCTGTGAAGTGTCCGTTCATTTCCTTAGCCCATTTATTGATTGGGTTATTCATTTTTTTGGTGTTAAGTTTCTTGAGTTTGCTATATATCCTAGAGATTAATGCTTTATCAGAGATGAATGTGGTAAAGAATTTCTCCCAAACTGTAGCCTCTCTCCTCAAGTTATTGCTTCCTTTGATGAGAGGAAGCTTTTTAATTTGAATCCATCCCATTTATTGATTCTTGATTTTCCTTCTCGCACTTTAGGAGTCCCTGTTAAGAAAGTCAGATCCTAGGCTGACGTGGTGAAATGGGGGCCTATTTTTTCTTCTATTAGGCACAGGGTCTCTAGTCTTTGATTCCCTGTGAGTTAATTTTTGTGTAGAGTGAGAGATAGGGGTTTAATTTTATTTTCTAAATATGGATTTCCAGTTTTGCCAGCACCACTTCTTGAATAGACAGACTATTGTTTATCCAGTGAATGTTTTTGGCACCTTTGTCTAGTATGACATAACCATATTTTTGTGGGTTTGTCTCTGTGTCCTTTATTTTATACCATTGGTCTTCAAGTCCATTTTGGTGCCAATAGCATGCTGTTTTTGTTACTATAGCTCTGTAGTACAGGTCTGGTATTGTGATGTATCCTGCTTCGCTTTTCTTGCTAAAGATTGCTTTAGCTATTCTGGTACTCTTATTTTTCCAAATAAATTTCATGGTTGCTTTTTCTATTTCTATGAAGAATGTCATTGGGATTTTAATATGAATTGCATTAAATCTGTATAATAATGCTTTTGGTAGTATGGCAATTTTGACAGTATTAATTTTGCCTATCCAGGAGCATGGGAGATCTTTCCATCTTCTGAGGTTTTCTTCAGTTTCTTTCTTTAGTGTTCTATAATTTTCACAGTAGAGTTCCTTCACCTCTTTTGTTAGATTGATTCACAGGTATTTTACTTTTTTGAAGCTATTGTAAATGGAAGAGTTCTCCTAATTTTTCTTTCAGTGGATTGATCACTGATGTATAGGAATGCATTTCATTTATGGGTATTGATTTTTATATTCTGCTATTTTGCTGAACTTATTTATCGGTTCTAGAAGATTTCTGGTAGAGTTTTTTGGTTCTTCTAGTATAGAATCATGTCATGAGCAAACAGTTGATAATAATTTGAGTTCTTCTTTACCTATTTGTATCCCTTTAATTTCTTTCTTTTGTCTAAGTACTCTGGCTAGAGTTTCAAGAATCATGTTGAATAGAAGTGGTGAAAGAGGACATCCTTGCCTTGTTCAAGTTTTTAGTGGGAATGCTTTTAATTTTTCTCCATTTAGAATGATTGGATTTAGCATATAAAGCTTTTACAATGGTGAGGTTATGTTCCTATCCCTAGTTTTTCTAGTGTTTTGAACATGTACTGTATTTTGTCAAATGCTTTTTCTTGCATCTTTTGAGAAAATGCCATCAAAATCATGACAAGCAAGAAAAGCCTAGGATTAAATGGTTAAGTGTTATTTTATGTATATTTGTCAGAGTGTTTCTTAATGGGACTAGAATTTAAATCTGTAGACTATTTCAACCAAAGTGCTCTTCCCTTTGAGAATTGGCCTTGCCGAATCTACTGAAGACCTGAATAAAACAAAAGAATGACTAAATGAAAATTCACTTTGTCTTCCTAATTTTCTCCAAGCAGGGATACTGGTTTTGTCTTGAGATTCAGGCTTGAAATAAAATTGGAACTTACATGTTCAACTGTGCTGCTTTTCAGGTCTTTGTAATAGGGCTTCAACGACATACCACAGGCTCTTTTGAGTTGCCAGTGTGTGACAGCAAATCTTGGGACTTTTCACCTAAGAGATTCGGATGAAGGATACCTTAAAATAAGCGGTGTGTGTGTGTGTGTGTGTGTGTGTGTGTGTGTGTGTGTGTATGTGTGTGTTGGAGGGTGCCTCGGTTCTTCTATGAGAAACCAAAAAGTCAAAAATACTTTAAATTTTACGTAGTGTATTTATCAAAATACACTAATTTCCTCCCATTATTAAATATCACAAAGTACAACATTCTCAGCAACTAGAAAGACCACATGGGAGGATCACAAGTTTGAGGCCAGCATGGGCAACATAGCAAGATCCTGTCTCCAAACCAAAAAAAGAGTAGGGGGTGGGGGCTGGTGGGTATCTCTGTGGTAGAGCATACCCGAGTTCAATACCTAGTAGAGCAAGAAAACAAAACAACAACAACAACAAAGATGTACAAAGCTACACAAATTCAATTCATACCTCCAATTAATAACAAAATATACAATTGTCAAATTTTAAAGTTATCTCATAAGGGCTTGACAAAACATTAAGTTTGTAGAAAAGTTAAGACTTTTTTACCAATTTTTTATTAGTACACATGAGCTATCTAAATATCACATATCTAAATCTAAAATCAGATATATGACTTAATGAGTATATTAATTTTCAAGACTTGGTACTTCAGCTTTTCTCTATTTTTCTCACATTGCTTTTACCACATCCCCACTTTCTACCCTCCTATACACAGACAAAACAAAATATTATTTGGCTAGTTTGGAAGAAATAAAAATGAAAAATCACTGTACATAGGCCAAGATACTTCCTTTTAACTCTGCAACATAAGTAGTATTTGTAAGCCAGTTAAAGAGAAAATCCAAATAATATAATATTTGTAAGCCACTGACAGTTAAGTAATTGATACTCATAGGACTCTTTCTTTAACTGTTGGTCCCTCT